GACGGTGGGAAGGGACGACAGCACCAACCACCTCCTCCTCTGGAGAGCATGAACAGCCACAGCCCCCCAGGGCCGGCCCGGCGAGGAAGGGGGGTGCTGCCCCCCCTTTATGCAGAGGATGGGGGTCCTGACCCCCCCTCCCCGCCACCCCCAGCCCCAGCGCCTCTCATCTCCAACCCGGCTGCTCTCCGTGTGCTCGGGGTTGGGGGGGATGAGCCCCGGTCCCCCCCTATTGTCCCGTGTGTGTCCCCCCCCTCCGGCCACCACACGGGACTGGGGAGGGGCTGTGGGACACGAAGCAATGTGGGGGTGTGGAGAAGATGGGGAGGGGGATGAGATGAGCCCACTTGGGAAGGCGTCAAGGAGCATCCCTGGGGACCGGCCGGAGGATGCTGTGTACAGCCAGGAGCCTGCCTTGCTCTCCGGTTGTGTGTGTGCCTGCTTTGGGGAGTTAGGGGGAGCAGGGGGGGTCACAACCCTGTCACATCCCCCCCTCACCCTTCCCCTTTTCCCCTGGGACCCCCGGCCATGCCATGGGACCATCCCAGGGTCAATCTGCCCGTGGTGTCCCCCCTCGGCCCGGGCCTCTCGCTAACCCGCTCGCTCCATCGCAGCACCCAGATAGCTCTGTTTGTCTGTCTGTTTGTTTTAAATATATATATATTATATATAGAAACATCCTCGTTTATTGGGGGGGGCATTGGGGGGGTCAGGAGCATCATCACAGTGCTGCTGCTCCCTCTGTTTTGGAGATGGGGGGGGTAAAACCTTGCTGGTGCCCTGAGGTAGAGCTGGACCGCACTGGTGGAGCTGGACCGTGCAGGGAGGGGAGGACTGATGGAGAGGGGGAATTGAGGGGTCCCCCATTCCAAGCTCTGTGATGCCCATCACAGCTTTGGAGCGGGATGAAGGCACCAATGGTGCTCGAAGCATCTTGTGGATGAGGACAAGGATCTTCGCATCCCTGTGCCAGGAGCCAGGATGCTCTCCTGCACCCCTAAATCATGGTGATAGAAGTTGGGGCGCTAAAAATGACTTTTTTTGGACAAAATTCACCCCATTTGCCCTTTTTTCCTCCCATTTTCCTGCTTTCACCCCAGGGTCCAGGTGAGGCCCAGCCCTCTTGTCCTCATGGGAGAAGTGATAACGGCGGTGGCAGGGATGAATCGGGGTGACCCCATCCCCATGAAGCCCTGCGTGAGTGACAGGGATGCTGCTGCCCCATGCCCATCCCTCCATCCAGGATGGAGTTAACACTGGGATGGTGAGGACATTTTGGGAAGGAGGGAGCAGGAATTTGGTCACCTGGGGGCTGTTTCGTCATTAAAGGTCACCTGTGCCAGAATGAAGGCTCGTCCTTTTCCTTGCGGGGGGGGTCATTCCCTCCTGGATAACCCCCTCCCGCACTGGGATGCATCCCAGTCCCTTGCAGTGCCCTGGGAATGATGGAAGGACAAACAGCCAGGACAGGGGTCACTGGGAGCCCTGGTGTCCCAGCGTCGAAACCTGTCCCCTGGGGAAGGGGACGAGTCCAGGTTGGGGTGCACTATAAGGCACACAGGAAAGCAGGGTGCAGCACCCATGGGTGCTCCCCTACAGTGCCCATATGGGTCAAAACCCTCTTATTTCTTTAAAACCTTCTTGTTTCACATGTAAACCCCTTGTTTTTCCCTTTTCCCCCCCAAAACCCCTCCTCCTTTAGGATGAAGCCAAACACCCCCAAATCCCCCCCCTCCATCCCCCTTCCCCCCGCTGCTCCCTCCGCGCCCGGCAGGGGGCGCTACCGGAGGCAAGGGCGGGGCTAAGTGCTGGGAGGGTGGGCGGAGCTTCGCGGCGTGACGTCATGGAAAAGGGGCGGGGCGAGCCGGAGCAGCGCGCCCGCGGGTTCATTCATAAAGAGCCGGAGGGGAGCGCGGCGGGGGCAGGTAAGGGGCAGCCCCGGGACCCCCCTTGGCGCTGTGGGGGGGCTCGTCCATAGGGGGTCACCCCCTTGAATGGGTTAAATACCCCTTGGGGGGGGGTTGGGGGTGCTGCAGCTTCGGGCTGTGTGAAGGGGGTGCTTTGAGGAGGGGGGGGGTATACCGTGACCTTATCCTTAAGGAGACACGGGGGGAGCATCGCCTGAAGTGGGATGCGGTGATTTGGAGCTCCCCCGCCCCAATCCCCGGTGCTGTCTTCCGCTGCCGCAGCGCGAATGTGGGTTAGGATAAAGGGTGGGGAAGGGGAGAAGTAGGTTAAGGGAAAACTCCGCATCCGCTGCCTGGGAAACGGGATGGGAACGGCGGCAGGGCTGGAAAATCCCAGGCAAGCCCCTGCAGCGGGCGCGATGCCGCGGTGAGGGGCTGGGGGATGCCGCTGCCACCGTTTGCCTTTAAGATGCGTTTCTGTGATGGTTTCGTTGTCCCTATGGGGCACGGGGGGATGCGATAGCGCTGAGTTAACCGGTAATTCCCCCCCTTCCTTGTCCCATGCTGCCTCCGAGAGCCGTTCCCAAAGTGTTCCCGAGCGGCGGCTCCCTTTTTAGCCCCTTTATCTGCAGGAGCCATCGGCTGAAACCCGGCTCCCCCATGGGGAGGGGAAGCCCTCGCTGGAATCCCAGTGGGCAGGTTTGGGTTACAGGCTCTATTAAAGGCGGGCTGGGAATAAAAGGCTTACGTGATCCAGTGGGAACGGGGGAATTCCAGACCCCGGTTGCCTTCCGCGGTGTGTTCGCATTGATGCGAGTGGGGTTTGGAGCTGGTGGAGGTTGGGGTGGCCCCAGGGAGCAGCCACTGGTGGGGTTATTTCTGGTTCCTTCTGGCTCTTGGCAAGTAAATTGCACTGGGTTTAGTTTCCCTATGGGAGATTCAGGGCTTCCCCACTGTGCTGAGCATCCCCCCGTGTAGGGGATGGGTTTGTGCCTGCATCCCCCATCCCCAACTGCGGTGTCTCCGAGATGCCCCCCCTCAAGCTCCATTGATGGAGCCCTCTGGTCCAGGGAGCTCCTGCATCCCCATGGCACGGTCGTGGTCATCCAAGGGATGCTCTTAATCCTTGGGTATTAAGCTTGGCCTCAAACCTTTTACTTGGGGCCAGCGCTGGTTTTGGTGGGGTTTAAACCCATTTGTCTTGAACCAGAGAGCCAGGATGGGGCTTGGAGCAAGCTGCTCCAGTGGAAGGGGTCCCTGCCCGTGGCAGGGGTTGGGAATGGAGGAGCTTTAAGGTCCCTTCCAACCCAAACCACTCTGTGGTTCTGTGATACAGGCTCTGCTGGCCCATGGCATCACTTACCCACAGCTCATGGTCCCACAGTGGGACCTGCTCATCCCCTTCCAAGGCCATCGCTGCTCCTTTCCTGGCACAGCAGCATCCCGAACATCTCAGGGTGTCCCTAAGGTGTTGCTATTGAACACCCAAATCCCCCCCCACCCCAAAGGATTAATAAGCTTGATGTTAGGCTTCACCCTTAAGCTCAGGTTTGAGTAGTGCTGGTTCACAGCATGGAGGCTTTGCCCCAGTTTCATCCTCCCTCCACAACCAACGGGCGCATCCCAAGTCCAAGGTGTCCCCATGGAATGCCATTGCACTGGGATGATGCCCAGAGGGGAGGTGGCACATGATGGGGTGATGGTGACAGTGGACTCAGCCCCCCCAGAATCACAGGGTCCTTGGTTGGCATAGGTGTTGCTGGTGCAGATAGGGCTTGGTGGCTCTTAGCTTGGGATGCAGCTCCCAGGAAGGCTCCATGCTGGGTGCTCCCTTACTGGGAGGAACTGGAGCACAGAGGATGCTCATTCTCATATGGGCACCGTAGAGGGGCACCCATGGGTGCTGCACCCTGCTTTCCTATGTGCCTTATAGTGCACCCCAACCTGGACTCGTCCCCTTCCACAGGGGACAGGTTTCGACGCTGGGACACCAGGGCTCCCAGTGACCCCTGTCGTGGCTGTTTGTCCTTCCATCATTCCCAGGGGACTGCAAGGGACTGGGATACATCCCAGTGCGGGAAGGGGTTATCCAGGAGGGAATGACCCCCCCCGCAAGGAAAAGGACGAGCCTTCATTCTGGCCCAGGTGACCTTTAATGACGAAACAGCCCCCAGGTGACCAAATTCCTGCTCCCTCCTTCCCAAAATGTCCTCACCATCCCAGTGTTAACTCCATCCTGGATGGAGGGATGGGCATGGGGCAGCAGCATCCCTGTCACTCACTCAGGGCTTCATGGGGATGGGGTCACCCCGATTCATCCCTGCCACCGCCGTTATCACTTCTCTCATGAGGACAAGAGGGCTGGGCCTCACCTGGTCCCCGGGGTGAAAGCAGGAAAATGGGAGGAAAAAAGGGCAAATGGGGTGAATTTTGTCCAAAAAAAGTCATTTTTAGCACCCCAACTTCTGTCACCACGATTTAGGGGTGCAGGAGAGCATCCTGGCTCCTGGCATCCCAACCCATGTGCTGTCATTGCCCAGCTCTGCCCCATTCACCCCCAGCACCCCCCTCCCGTGGGTCATTGGCTGCATCTCCCATGGGTGATGCCAAGCAGTGACTGGGAGCAGCGGAGGCTGTAACGAGGCTCTGGGGTGGCCACAGGACCGTGACAACCGGGGCAGTTTCCATGCGGGCGCAGAGGCTGGATCCGCCTTTGGGCTGTCATTGACTCCTGCCTTCCCTTCCCAGTGCTGTCCGCATGGGTTGATTCAGCCATTCCTTAAGGGATTACAACCCAAAGGGGGGATGAGCCTGTGGGAACCACGTTTCATTGCACTGGATTTTAATACTTCTTATTCAGTGACTTCGTTTCCATGCGCAAGAGCCACCCCCAGAGCAGGAAAACCTTCATATAAAGGGGTTCACCCTCCCCTGCTCCTTCCCTTGCTCCTTGTATAGTTCCCTTGTTGGTTCAGATGGAGTTGGGGTCTGCAAGGGAAGGAGATGATGCTGAGCATCCCATAAACCCCCTAACAAAGCTTTGTGGGGGTGGTGGAAGCCGCTGCTGCAGGGGTATCCAGGCAGATGCCTTGGAGCATCCCAGTGGAGGGGAACAGGGATCCACAAGCCGCTTCCCCACTGGGATTTCCCCTGGATGGTGACCCTGATGCTTCCCCCCGGGCAGGTCTCCCCAGTGATGAAGAGCAGTGGGATGCACTGGTGGCTTGTCACTGTCCTGGGGGTGAGTACGGCCTCATCCATCCCATCCCATCCCATCCCATCCCATCCCATCCCATCCCATCCCATCCCATCCCATCCCATCCCATCCTCCTACATCCCTCCTTCTGCCTCCTCTGATGCCAGAGCCCGGTCCAGCATCACCACCCCACAGCCACAATAGGGCAACCCAATACATTCCCCACCTGGAAGCTGGCTCAGCCCTGGGGAGATGCTGGGTTTGGGTTGAGGTTCCCCTTTTCCCCCCCACATTCTTCCTCCTCTTCTCTTCTGCTGAAGCTTCTGTTTGGGAACGTGGCTTCTTCCTCGCTGCTCCTGCTGGGACCATTGTGTTGTCCCATGTCCCTTGAGATGCTCTTGGGATGGGCCATAGAGGTACCTCAGGAGCTGGGGCTGCTCCTTGGGGTGCCTTGGCCTGAGCAAGGCTCATGGTGGGTTTTATCAGCCACAGTCAGTTTATCAGCACCACGTCACTGGGGATGGGTTTGCATCCATCATGGTCTGGGTGATGGGGTGGCATCTATCACGTTGCTGGTGATGTGCATGCATGCAATGGGATTGCATCTGTCACATCATAGAATCATAGAATGGTTAGGGTTGGAAAGGACCTTAAGCTCATCCAGTTCCAACCCCCTGCCATGGGCAGGGACACTTTGCTCTAAACCATGGCACCCAAGGCCTCCTCCAACCTGGCCTTGAACACTGCCAGGGATGGAGCATTCACAACCTCCCTGGGCACCCATTCCAGTGCCTCAGCACCCTCACAGGGAAGAACTTCTTCCTTATATCCAATCCCTTGGGACAGGTTGGGGTCACTGTGATGCGTGCAGTGCCTTGGGCTCCATCATGTCGCTGGTGATGGTTTGTGTCCATCATGTCAGTAGTGATGGGTTTGCATCCACCACGATGCACGCAATGGGTTTGTAGCCATCACATCGCGTTTGGACAAGGGTCTGTAGGGCCAGGCCAAGGGGAATGGCTTGAACCTGCCCGAGGGGAGACTGAGCTGAGCTCTTAGGCAGAAGCTCTTCCCTGTGAGGGTGCTGAGGCGCTGGCACAGGGTGCCCAGAGAAGCTGTGGCTGCCCCATCCCTGGCAGTGCTCAAGGCCAGGTTGGACACAGGGGCTTGGAGCAAGCTGCTCCAGTGGAAGGGGTCCCTGCCCATTGCAGGGGTTGGGGTTGGATGAGCTTTAAGGTCCCTTCATCCCAACCCAGGCTGGGATTCCATGATAATCCCCCTGCTCCATGCCCATCACTTGTGACGGGTTCACCTCTGCATCCCCACCAGCACAGCCCGGGCAGCAGCAGGATTCTCACCGCACCCGGTGCTGAGCCCTTCTCTTTGCTTCTCCTGCAGGTGCTGAGCAGCCCTGGTGCAGGGGCCGGGAGCTGCGGTCCCCAGGAGCAGGGGACACCGGGATGCGCCCCCGGAGAGGAGCCCATTGGGGTAAGCCACGGTGCATGCACCCGGGGGGAAGGTGCTGGCTCCGTCCATCGCTCACCTCCCTCTCCCTGCGTGCAGGAATGTGGCTCAGGGGGGCTGTGCCGAGCTTGCCCCCCCGGCACCTTCTCACGGGGGGACACATCCTGCTCCGCTCACACCCGCTGCCGCGATGGGAACAGGATCCTGGTGGCTCCGGGCACCGCGGGCACCGACAGCCGATGCGGATCCTGCCTGCCGGGGTGAGCCCTGCTGCGGCCCCACAGCCCCGGTGCCGCTCGTGGGCCACGTCCTGACCCTCCCGTCCCACCCCGCAGGTTTTACAGCCCTGAAGGGGAGAAGGAGCCCCGGGGTCGGTGCCTGCCCTGCGCCAGCGCTCCCCGCAGCACCCCGGGGTGCCGAGGTGGGTGCTGATGGAGCAGGGATGCTGGGATGTGCCCGCTCCTCACATGAGTGGTTTCTGCCTCCCTAAGGGCAGCAGAGCTCTTGGGAAAACGGGATTTGATCCCAATAAACTCCTCCCTGAGGCTGATCCGGTGCTTTCCATCCCCAGGCCGGCGGCGAGGCCGCAGCCCGGAAGCACTGGAGCAGCCAGTGGGGACCAATGGGACATGGGTGGCTCTGATGGGTGAGGAAGAGGAGGAGGAGGCAGCAGCAGCACAAGCGGCTGTGCTGACCATCGTCCCGGTCTTCTGTGCCATGGGGCTGCTGGGCATCCTGGTCTGCAACCTGCTCAAGAGGAAGGGTTACTACTGCACCACCAGCAAGGAGCCCCAGCCTGGAGCCACCGGTGAGCCCTGGATGTGCCACATCCATCATCCCGCATCCATCATCCCACACCCATCATCCCGCACCCATCATCCCGCATCCCTCATCCCACATCCATCATCCCACATCCATCATCCCACATCCCGCATCCCTCTCCATCATCCCGCATGCATCATCCCACATCCATCATCCCGCATCCCTCATCCCGGATCCATCATCCTGCATCCATCATCCTGCATCCATCATCCCGCATCCATCATCCCGCATCCACCATCTCACATCCATCATCCCGCATCCATCATCCCGCATCCATCATCCCGCATCCATCATCCCGCATCCATCATCTCGCATCCATCATCCCGCATCCATCATCCCGCATCCATCATCCCGCATCCATCATCCCTCATCCATCATCCCGCATCCATCATCCCGCATCCATCATCCCGCATCCATCATCCCGCATCCATCATCCCTCTCCATCATCCCGCATCCATCATCTCGCATCCATCATCCCGCATCCATCATCCCGCATCCCTCATCCCGCATCCATCATCCCGCATCCATCATCCCGCATCCATCATCTCGCATCCATCATCCCGCATCCATCATCCCGCATCCCTCATCCCGCATCCCTCATCCCACATCCATCATCCCGCATCCATCATCCCACATCCCTCATCCGTCATCCTGGATCCGTCATCCCACATCCATCATCCCGCATCCCGCATCCATCATCTCGGATCTGTCATCCCAGATCCATCATCCCGCATCCATCATCTCGCATCCCTCATCCTGCATCCCTCATCCCGCATCCCTCATCCCGCATCCCTCATCCCGCATCCATCATCCCGCATCCCTCATCCCGCATCCATCATCCCGTATCCCTCTCCCTCATCCCGCATCCATCATCTCGCATCCATCATCCCGCATCCATCATCCCGCATCCATCTCCTCTCATCCAACCCATCCCCATGGCTTCTGGTCCTCACTGACCCAGGGCATCCTATTCATCCATGGCGGGGTTTATCCCCCAACCACTGAACCCCCCTTTACTTCCACCTCCAGGTCCCAGCTCCATTTACCAGCTGGAGGATGCCAATGAGGACACCATCGGGGTGCTGGTGCGGTTGATCACTGAGAAGAAAGGTCGGGGGGGGGGGGGGGAGCCCCTGGGTAGGGGGTGACATGGGCTGGACCCCCCCATGACCCCCTTTTGGTGTCCCCCCCACAGAAAACGCAGCAGCGCTGGAGGAGCTGCTGAAGGAGCATCACAGCCAACAGCCACAGGGCTGCACCCCCCCAGATAAGTAAGGACCCCCCCCAAGGCTGCACCCACGGTAGGAGCAACCCCCCCCCATTGACTCCATCTCCCCCTCCTCCCCAGGCTGCACCTCCTGCCTCAGTTTCCCCCCTCCTGCCAGCACCAGCAGCACCTCCACACAGTGCAGGGCCCAGCCCCGTGCGCCCGCTGCAGCCAGAAGTGGCCGGAGGTGCTGCCACTGCCCAGGGCCACCAAGGGCCCCAAACCGGGGGCTCGGCCCGCTGAGGTCACCATCCTCTCTGTGGGCAGGTGAGTGGGGACCCCCCCTCCGTGTCCCCCTCTCTGCAGGGTGGGGAGAAGCTGATGCGATGCCCCCCCCCCCCAACAGGTTCCGGGTGTCCCGCATCCCGGAGGTGAGGAGCAATGCTGGGGGTGAGCCCCACCATGGAGCCCTGCCCACCGGGAGTGGGATGTGGGTGAGGAGCACTGATGGCCCCCCCAAGGTAAGGGGAGGGGGGGTGATGGGAGGCTGGGGGGAGCCTCTGGGGGTCCATCATGGGGGAAGATGGGGCTGCAGGAAGCTGGAGGGGAGAGCGTGAACTCTGGAGCCTACTGAGTGCATCTGGTGATGGCCAGGATGGAGCAGGCCAAGGCCCCTGAGCCTATGCATGAGCACATGCATAAATGCACATGCAAACCCACATGCACTGATGTACATACACACGCATGTATGCGGTCACACACACATGTATGCAGTCACACACATGTATGCGGTTATACACGCATGTATGCAATCACACACACATGTATGCAGTCATACACACATGTACGCAGTTGCGTATGCATGTATGCAGTCGCACACACACGTATGCAGTCACACACACACGTATGCAGTCACACACACACATATGCAGTCACACACACATGCAGTCGCACACATGTATGTGGTCATATACACATGTATGCAGTCACACACACACGTATGCAGTCATACACATGTATGGGGTCACATACACATGTATGCAGTCGCGCATACACGTATGCAGTCGCACACACGTATGCGGTCACATACACATGTATGCGGTCATACACACATGTATGCAGTCACACATGTATGCAGTCGCACACACACGTATGCAGTCACACACACATGTATGCGGTCACACACACATGTATGCAGTCGCACACACATGTATGCGGTCACACACACATGTATGCGGTCACACACACATGTATGCAGTCACACACATGTATGCAGTCACACACACGTATGCGGTCACATACACATGTATGCGGTCATACATGTATGCAGTTGCGCACGCATGTATGCGGTCATACACACATGTATGAAGTCACACATGTATGCAGTCGCACACACACGTATGCAGTCACACACACGTATGCAGTCATATACACATGTATGCAGTCACACACACGTATGCAGTCACACACATGTATGGGGTCACATACACATGTATGCAGTCGCACATACACGTATGCAGTTGCACACACGTATGTGGTCACATACACATGTATGCGGTCATACACACATGTACGCAGTTGCGCACACATGTATGTAGTCACCCACACGTGTATGCAGTCGCACACACATGTATGCAGTCACACACATGTATGCAGTCGCACATACACGTATGCAGTCACACACGTATGCGGTCACACACACATGTATGCAGTCACACACATGTATGTAGTTGCACACACATGTATGCGGTCACACACACACATATGCAGTCGCACATACATGCAGTCACACACACATGTATGCAGTCACACACACGTATGCAGTCACACACATGCAAACCAACCCTTGCACATGGAGCTTTGTGCGTGTGCACACACAGAGACGGGCACCATTCACACACCACTGCACACGCACACGTATGCATGGGCAAACATGCACATGGAAACCCCTTATGCACGCACACACATGTGCACACGTTCAGTCACACATGCAGACACACATGTGCATGTGGAGCTCTATAAGAGCATCCTGGACACCGTGTCCCCTCCAGCTCCTGTCACCCCAGGTTCCCCCCCCACATATTTGGGGTCACCTTGACCCTGCTGAGCCCATGGCCAAGTCCTGCAGGGCCTCAGCATCCTTATGGGGGGGCACCGGTGATGTGGGGAGAACCTGGGTGGCTGCTTTAGGAGGTGTCCCCTCCAACAGGGATGTCCCTGGGTAGCAACAGGCCCCATGGATACTGGTCTAGGGAGTGACACAGGTGGCCCCGGGCACTGGGGTGGTGCAGAGGGCCCAATCCAGCCTCATTCATGGTCCATCCCTTGTCCTTCACAGCTGGCAGCAGGCCTGGGGGCTGCCTCGGGGGGACGGTGACACCCACAGAGACCCCATGGAGGGGGCAGAGGATGCTGGGCGCCGTGTGAAGACCAGTCCTGTGTGGAGCCGTGAAGTGCTGGAGGCGGCAGCTTGGCTTCTCCTCCTGCCACCAAGGTGTCCATCAGGAGCATGGCAAATCCATCGTCGGGCCCAGCTGGTGAGAAGGATTCCCTGTCCCCAAGGACTGGTGGTGGCCATGGCATGGTGGGCTGGTGGAGAGCATCTCCTGGAGCTGCAGCACCAGTGGTGATGGTCACATCGTGGTCCCCTGATGGAGAGCATCTCCTGGAGCTGCAGCACTGGTGGTGGTGGCCATATCGTGGTCCTCTGATGGAGAGCATCTCCTGGAGCTGCAGCACCGGTGGTGATGGTCATATCGTGGTCCTCTGATGGAGAGCATCTCCTGGAGCTGCAGCACCAGTGGTGGTGGTCATATTGTGGTCCTCTGATGGAGAGCATCTCCTGGAGCTGCAGCACTGGTGGTGGTGGCCACATCGTGGTCCCCTGATGGAGAGCATCTCCTGGAGCTGCAGCACCAGTGGTGATGGTCATATTGTGGTCCCCTGATGGAGAGCATCTCCTGGAGCTGCAGCACCAGTGGTGATGGTCATATTGTGGTCCCCTGATGGAGAGCATCTCCTGGAGCTGCAGCACTGGTGGTGGTGGCCACATCGTGGTCCCCTGATGGAGAGCATCTCTGGGAGCCATGATGCTGGTGATGGTGGCCACATCGTGGTGCCCTGATGGACAGCATCTCCTGGAGCTGCAGCACTGCTGATGGTGGACTGATGGAGAGCATCTCTGGGAGCCATGATGCTGGTGATGGTGGCCACATCATGGTGCCCTGATGGATAACACCTCTGGAAAGCCATGATGCCAGAGCACAGCTCCATTGGAGACAGACACCATGCAGTGGAGGATGTCATGCAGCTGGGATGCCATTTCACAGTCACCTTCTTGCTCTGTTGAACTGAAGCCTCTCCAGGCACATCATGAGCTCTTGACTTCCCTCCATCACGAGGTACCAGCACTGCACTGGTACTGCACACTGCAGTTTAATGACAGCCTGTGGATCACAGAACAGCTCTCACCTTACAACAACCCACCCAGAGCATGGGTTGAGCTGGCCAAAGCTGGTCTCCTGCATGGACATCTCTATCCAAGGCCTCAATCAGCCCAGGAGATCCACTCTGCTCACCACGAAGCTCACACACTCCTCCTATAGGATCACACTGACCTCCTCAATGGCCACGTTGGGCTCAGCGGAACAACCCACCCAAGGTTGAGTTGGTGCCCACCAAGCTCCACATCCAGCCTAGAAATGGGTTTATGGCTGCTCCCATTCACTTCTCCATCCCCTCAGCACCAAAAAAACCAACCACAGCCCCCCTCTTGGGCTCTTTTATTTATTTTTTCTCTCTTTTTTGTTTTTGGAAACATGTTCATAGGTCTCCAATGGTCTACATCTTACAGGAAATATGGGACAGTTACAAACTCGGGGATGGGGGGGGAGACCACGACCTGATCTTCAGAACCAAAACCAGAACAAACCCCAAAACCAGGGAACTAAACCCAAATGGACACTTTCAGATGGACAAACCGAGGCTGGGGAGGGGGACGGGGGCTCTCCAGGGCATCACTTCAAGGCCATGTTCCCTCCACACCTTTGAGACTTGGAAGACATGGTTACTCCTGGGTTTCGTCTTGATTTCTCTTACTTTTTGGTATTTATGTATTTATTTTTTTGCTAAAGAGGTCAAATACTATTTAAAAATGAGTTGATTTGGGGGGAAAAATGGGATTAAAAACCTTATTCCATAGAAAGAAGGGTAAAACCCAACGTGGGTTTGCTCAGTGCTATGGGAACGGGAGGGTTTGGGTGCTATCCTGCACCCCACTGGCTCAGTTCTGCTTCCTTCCCATGCTTCCCGACCTCTCTGATCCCAAACCTCCTTCACCCTGGGAAACCCCAGCTCCATCCCTTGCAGGGAGCTGCAGCGATGCTGCAGGTGGCTGTATTGCATCAATAGGCTTTTCCCTACAAACAGCACAACTGAGCGTTTCCAACTGGGAATTGCTGCTGTTGAAGCATGGATTTTGCTACTCCTGCTTTGCCAACATCCCTGTACCAGGCTGTTTTGCCTGGTTACAGGTAAATCCCGAAGTGCCACGGTGCAACATGCTGGGAAAACACCTTTTCCAAGCTCTCTTCCCTCTCAGGCTCCCAGCAGGCTTTGTTTTCCTTATTTCCCTATGGGAATGCTAGTGCATGGCAGAGAAACCATCTGGAGCTCCATCCTACTGGCAGCCCAATGGGCTCAGGACAAAGTGAAAGGAAGATGGGCAGAGGGTCACTGTGTTTTGGGAGTGATGGATGGAGGGCCTGGAAATACTGACAATTAATAAAAACTAACCCAAAAGCCCTGGATTTATGGATATCCAGCAGCTCTTATTGCTATTGTCGGCTGGTTGGGTTTCCCTATGGAAAATTCTCCTTCAAATGTGGGTTTCCTCAAAACATCCTCAAATGTGTATCCCTCTAAGAAAGCCAACCCCTATTTCACACCCTCTGGCCAAGGGACCACATCATCCCATATCCCTGCATCCACTGGGATGGAGGAGGGGAGGGAGAGGATGGCAAACAGAGAGGGCTTCGGGAAGGGATGCTGGTGGATGGGGAGAAAACGGATACCCTAAACCATCCATCCTTCAAACCAAGCCCTTCAATAACACTTCATGGTAAGTACAACTGCAAAAGCTGACCTGGGTTATTGTTATTCATTAAATACAAGAGCAAATGGTCACCTGGAGGGTTCAACCCCTTGGAGGGGTGATGGATACAGAAGCTCACTCTGGTTGGGGGTCACCACCACTCTCCATTTGCCTTTTTGCCTCCCCACATCTTGGGTTACAGCTCGTGTTTTCAAGCAGAGATAATGACAGGGATGGGTTCATGGTTGTAACAGTGGTTTCAGAGTGCTTTTCCTTCCTCTGTAGTGGCAATATCAATCTCTGAGATACTTGAGAGGTTCCTAAGGATGGTTTAGCCCCTCCTGCTCCTCCTTGCTAATGCCCAGTGTGATCCTCCACCACAGGAAACCCTTTTGCTTAACTAACATCAGCAAAGCTTTGACGTAGTGAAGTATCTGAGAAGCTGGTGGCCACCATCAGTGCTGCAACCTCCCCAGGACCTTCACTTAAGCCATGACTTGGCCAAGGAAAGGGCTTGGGATCATGGGCTTTCCTCTCATCATTCCGTCTACCCCAAACCCCATACCCCTCCATGGGGAAGGGGACAGGGCTGCAGGTCACTGCTGGCATGAGCTGAGAGGCATCAAGCCCTACATCCCCATTCAGCAGCAGGGAGCATCTCACCACCATCATGGACCCATGAAGACACCTTGGGAAGGAGCTGCCCAATCCTGGAGCCATGCACTGGCCCTGGAGCCATGCAGTGTCCAAGCCTAAACCCCACCACCAGTTTCCAAACGTGCTCACTAGAGCCTCTCACCTGACAGCAGTGAATGCTTCACCTCTCCACACCCTGCTTGAGTGAATGGGCATTTCTGCCTGGGCATAACAGGATGAGGAGCATCAGATCTGCTGCTGGTCCAAGGGAAGGAGTTAAACCTAAACCACCCCTGTCACATCTCAGTAGGGGTAACACTGGGTGATCCTCCTGGAGCTTTCTACCCTACCTTTAGTGTTCTCTTTCCTTTCACCAGCAACCCTGGCAGCTCCTTCCTGGCCATGGACCCAAGTATTGGCATCCATTCCTAAAGCAGCTGAGGGTGAAGGGTGCCTAGGTCTGCTGGGCAGGACCTCCTCTGTAGGACCTAGGCTGTGATAACACTGAACCCTGCAAGTCACAGTGCCATTACTCTGGCTGGAGCTTACCCTACCCTATGTGTTTCCATGCTGACAGACAGCTCCTAACACATAGCACAAAGTCAACATGAGAGGAAAGAAGGGTATTGAGAGGTCTTCAAGTCCTGTGATCTACTGGGTGGTTTCCCACCCAGGTTTAACTGCTACAAACAGTGGAAGGGTGATGCAGTAACATTGGTTCCAAATGTCCTGGTGCTCTTCATGTGCTAATCCTTGGCTTGGCCAAAGTGAACCCTCAGGTTTTGGGGGGGGGTTTCCTTCTCTTTTCCATTTATACAAACCCAAAGTGCAATCCCAAGTACCACACAGGAGAAATCCACCTTCCCACCCCACACTGCTGTTCAGTCTTCCCCCACTCTGCTCCCCTCAACGTTGGGAAGGTCAACCAGAGCTTTGCTAGATCTCCTTTAAAACCCCCATGACCAACTAAATGACCCCCATACAGAAGTGCTGCTTCCACCACCCAACCTGACAAACCACCCAGGACCAAGAAGTCCTCTTGGGTCCCTAAGTTTGTTTCTCCTCATTTGGACCATGCTCATAGGAAGGAGCTCCATAACTGCTCCCAGTGGCAGCAGAAGCCAAGCTGGAGACACAACCAAGAGCAAGGTCTCCCCCTGGGACCAACAACTGCTCACGTTGCTCTTCTGAAAGCCCCTCCAGTCTGATGTCTACACCACTGTATCCCAGTCAAGGTGACCCTCCAGTGCTGCTCTCCACTGCCCTCACCTCCATATGGAGATAGGCATATCCAAAGCAGAGCGACCAACAGACAGGGCACTGACTCAACACCATGCATGGGTCAGAAATCCATGACAGGCGATGCCAGGAGGGATTCCCACCCACATCTCCTAACCTCACTGCTTTAAAGGCTCTGGATTTGGTCCATTGTGACAACCTTGAAGCCCAAGAGATGCGAGATGCGAACACACTGCTGGTGCACGTAACTCTTTTGGCACACTTGAGGGAAAACTCAAAACCCAACAGTGGTTTTGTCTTAGGAAACACCAAACAGAAGAAAAACCTTGTTTCTACTCAGGGTTTAGTGATAAGGGCTTAAAGATAAACTGGCCTCAAGTACCGGCTGCAAAACCTCTCTCTACTGCCCTCCATACAACTTATTGCTCCACTCGGATACCCCAAGGTGGGATGTCACCGGCCACACTTGGCCTCACATCTTCATGCCCTTGGGAAAGCCAAAACCCCCTGAAATTACCCCAATGCCCACAGCCTCTGCATGCCCATTGTATCCCAGCCTGGTCCCTGTCAACTGTGGATCACCTTCCCTGCTCTCGCCTCTCCTCGGGTGCCTTCCCATGAGGAAGGTGACACGTTTATTGCTATTGCTTCCTCTTCCCCTCCGCTTCTCCCCAAAGGCCAAGCAGAGCAGCGCTCTCATCCCCCTCTCCTGCCTTTCTCTCTGGTGCCAGGATTTGTGCTTGGATGAGCATTTCTCCTGGAAGTCTCAGCTGGAACCCAAAGAATGAGGGGGGCACCTTGACTGCCACGGAGGAATCAGTTTGGTTTCAGCCCTGCCAATGACACAGGTGAAAGGTGAAGCCACCCATCTTCCCCCTTGCCCTACCTCAAAGACTCTTCTCCACCTATCAGCTCTCCTCCTTTCCCACACTGTGAGACTCTAGAGAAGCTCTTCAAACCAAGCCTTGGACCTAGAGAAGCTCTTCAGATCAACCCTTGGACCTGGAGAATCTCTTCAAACCAAACCCTGGACCTGGAGAAGCTCTTCAGACCAACCCTTGAACATCTCCTTGCTTCCTTCAACAGCCACCCAGCCCATCTCTGCCTGCAAACAGCAGCCACGCAGGGAAGGAGCTGCCTTCTCTCTCATGCAGCCCCAGGACGTGGCCGATGGGGAGCATCCCATTTACCCAAGAGGTGCAAGATGCTACCAGGGCACGTGTGTCTCTGCTGCTCTCTTCCCATCACACAAGACCCATTTGCCCAGTTGGAAAAAGCAGCCCAAAGACCTGATGGTGCCCATTCCTCATACTTCCTAAGACAAGTGTGTTACGTCGCTAATGATACTTATATTCTCTTAACTCCTACAAAAGAAGGGATGAGTTCAGAACTTCACTGCAGGTAATGCATTTATAATCTATCACAACAGCTATCTGGAAGACACCAAGTGTTTTTTTTTTGTTTTCTTGTAATATGTTATGGAAGATTAAATAATTTATATTCTTCAACTAAAAAGACCCAAACCAAAATGGGAAGAAGAAGCCTGCCTACCAGCGCTGTGCTTTTCACGTAGTACCCTGAACATCAACCACTCTTACTAGCCAAAGGAAATCTAGGCTCTTGTCAACAACAACAACAACAGAAAGGTCATGAAAAGAACCCAAAACGAACAAGAAGTGGGGGGATCTTTGCACCACTCAGCTGGGCAATGCTGGAAAAACAAAACAGTGGAATATTCTGAGCTTGCCAATGACAGGACTCCAAAGAGAACTCGACTATTGCTCAGTGTCAGTACGTGTGTTACACAATGGATGTGGGGTGGGGAGGAGGAAAGGGGAGAGGAGAAAACAATAAAATAAAAGGGAGGCAGAAGATTAGAAAAAGCAGCTTTTACAAAACCACTAAAGAATGCATAAAGTGACCCTTGCACTTTTGTTGGTTTTCTTTTGTTCTTGCAAACAGACGAGGTGCTGCAGGACAGCGGCCACAGCACCGATGTAAGACTTGTGTAGTTGCATACAATGTTTGACTCTGGATCTGGAAGAGAGCAGACATAGTGCAAACAAGGAGTTAGGAGCAAGTGGTGCAGGGTAGGAAGGTTCTAAAGAGCAGTCTGGACAGGCTGGATAATTGGGCTGTGGCAAAGTGCTGGGTCCTGCACCTGGGTCACAACAACCCCATGCAAAGCTCCAGGCTTGGGAATTGTGGCTGGAAACTGCCCATGGAACAGGACCTGGTGGATGGAGCTGAACATGAGCAGCTTGTGCCCAGGGAGCCCCCAGCATCCTGGCCTGGATCAGCACCAGTGCGGCAGCAGGGCCAGGGCAGGGATTGTGCCCCTGCACTGGGCACTGGGGAGGCCACACCTCGGATCCTGTGCTCAGCTCTGGGCCCCTCACTGCAAGAGAGACATTGAGGGGCTGGAGCGGGGCCAGAGAAGGGAATGGAGCTGGTGCAGGGCCTGGAGCCCAAGTGTGATGGGGAAGGGCTGAGGGACCTGGGGGGTTCAGATGGAGAAGAGAAGGCTCAGGGGGGACCTGATGGCTGCCTCCAAGTGCCTGAGAGGAGGATGGAGCCAGGAGGGGCTGGGCTCTGCTCCCAAGGAACAAGGGATGGGAGAAGAGGAACCGGCCTCAAGCTGCACCAGGGCAGGTTTAGATGGAGCTGAGGACCAATTCCTGCCCCAGAGGGTGCTCAGGCATTGGAACAGGCTGCCCAGGGCAGGGCTGCAGGCACCGGCCCTGCAAGGGTTCACACCCCATGGAGACGAGGCCTCAGTGCCATGGGGCAGTGGTGGCCTTGGCAGGGCTGGGAATGGTTGGACTGGATGAGC